ACGAAACTTTTCACACATCATTCTAGACTTAATTCAGTACGCTGTGCCAAATTTCGTGCAAATCGAAAGATTTATATGGACTTTGGTACACAATTTACCTTAAATCGGACTAAGATATATATGGGAGCTATATCTAAATCTGAACCGATTTTCACGAAACATGGCAGACACCATTCTAGACCTTATTCATTACGCTGTGCCACATTTCGTGCAAATCGAAAGATATATAGGGACTTTTGTTCACAATTTACCTTAAATCGGACGAAACTATATATGGGAGCTATATCTAAATCTGAACCGATTTTCTCGAAACTTGGCACACATCATTCTGGGCCTAATTCAGTACTCTGTACCAAATTTCGTGTAAATCGAAAGATGTAGATGGACTTTGGTGCCCCATTTACCTTAAATCGGACGAAAATATATATGGGAGCTATATCTAAATCTGAACCGATTTTTCCCAATTTCAATAGGGTTCGTCCTTGGGCCAAATAAGTGACTTGTGCCAAATTTCATCCAAATCGGATCATAAATGCGACCTGTACTTTGTTTACAATTTAACATCTACAGACGGACAGACGGACGGACGGACATGCATAAATCGACTCAGAAAGTGATTCTATGCATATTCTCAAAAGGAACTATGGGTCTATCTCGTTTCCTTTTGCCTGTTACAAACATATAAACAAAGACATAATACCCTGTACCACAGTGTGGTGAAGGGTAAAAAATCCAGAGCTATTCATACTCCTTTAAAATATCTACGCCTTTTCATAGTCCTTGAAAAATAAGTTTAAAAAGTCTACGCTTTGAGTATGTCCTTAAAACAATAGTTGCAAGTCTACGACTTTTATGGGTCCTTAAAAAAATATGTTTTTAAACCCACGTCTTATGCATATGTTCAAAAAATATTTTAGAAATCTACGCCTTATGTAAGTCCTTAAATTTTGCTTAAAAATATATCTTTAAAAATCTTTCCCTTTTTGTTATTTAAATGATCGGGCCTTGAAATATTATCATTGCTCAGGTGTTTAAAAAATAGTTTAATATTTTTCCAAGAAAGGACATCAATATCTTGCTTTCATTTACACTTTAAGAATAACTTTTAAAGTTTTCTATGAAACGAAGAAAAAAATATTTTCCCCTTTTGGTTTTTCCACAAAATATTTAATTTATAGTAAATAAAACTCGACACACACACACTGACACGCATCGTTTTCGGGCACCTAACCACATGTGCAATATATACATATATCGTTTGGGTTTAATTTTTTCCAGAAAAGAAAATTTGTATCTTTCTTGAGGTTTTGCTGCTGCTGCTGCTGCTGCTTCCTTGCACATATTTCTTACTTCGTCTTGGTCTTCTTCTACTTTCGGTTGTTGGTTGTTCTGTTTGAAAATGGTTTAAAAATGTGTGGTTTAAACTAAACTTAGAGAAGAAGAAGTATAAAGTGGATTTATTGCATTGTAGTTGATGCACAACTCTATCTCTCGGAGGGTGTTGTCCTGGCGAGGTATGTGGGAAGAGGGTGTGGATGTGTATGTGTGGTTGGTTTCTTTTGTAGGTTGTATCATAAACAATTTACTTGCTATTTATTTTGGCTTAAAGGATTTGTAATTTATATAACAATTATTTAACAAATTTATAGTTGAACGGCTGATGCTGCTGCGTTTGGTAGTAAAGACACAAAAAACTATTGGGGTCACATAAATCCCTTTGATTGTGTGTAAATACATCTGTTTTTTTTTTTTTTTTTGTTAAACGAGGCTTTGGGGTTTAATTTTTTTAAAACTTTATAACAATTAAACAATTAAACACATTTAAAGTAATGAATCTTTTTTATAGCACGAGTACAGACAGTACATATTTTTAATAAACATTCGTAGAGGACCTAGAAAAAGGCGTAGATTTTTCCAAAAATATATTTTTAAGAGAGCTACATAAGGCGTAGTTTTTAAAACATATTTTTAAGAGAACTGCATTAGGTGCGGATTCTTTTCAAAAATAATTTTAGTAACAAACTTAAGGCGTGAAATACAAAAAATAAAAGGCCTACATAAGGCGTAGATTTTTTTTAAAAATATTTTAACAGGATTTTTAAATAATATTTTTGAGGGTATCACATAAGGCGTGCATTTTTATACCCTTCACCACACTGTGGTACAGGGTATTATGTCTTTGTGCATATGTTTGTAACAGGCAAAAGGAAATGAGATAGACCCATGGTTCCTTTTGAGAATATGCATAGAATCACATTCTGAGTCGATGTATGCATGTCCGTCCGTTCGTTTGTCTGTTCATGTTAAATTGTAAACAAAGTACAAGTCGCTATTATAAACCGAATTGGATGAAATGTGGCAAAGCTCGTCTATTTGGTCCAAGGACGAACCCTATTGAAATTGGAGAAAATCGGCTCAGATTTAGATACAGCTCCCATATATAGCTTCGTCCGATGTTTTTTGAATGATGCACCAAACTCCCAATATTTGTCCGATTGGGACAAAATTTTGCACAGAGTACTGAATTGGGTCTAGACTGATGATCAGATTTAGATATAGCTTCCATATATAATTTCGCCCGATTTAGGTAAATAGTGCACCAACGTCCCTTTATAGCCTTCGATTTGCACGAAATTTGGCACAGCGTACTGAATTCGATCTCGAATGATGGGTGCACAGTTTTGTGAAAATCGGTTCAGATTTAGATATAGCTCCCATATATATTTTCGTCCGATTTAAGGTAAATGGTGCACCAAAGTCCGTAAATATCTTTCAATTTGCACGAAATATGGCACAGCGTACTGCATTAGGTCAAGAATGATGTGTGTTAAGTTTCCTGAAAATCGGTCCAGATTGAGATCTACCTCCCATATATAGTTTCGTACGATTTTATGTGAATGGTGCACCAAACTGCCAATATTTGTCAGATTGGGACAAAATTCTGCACAGAGTACTGATTTGGGTCAGGACTGATGTCTGCGAAATTTTGTTAAAATCGGTTTAGATTTAGATATAGCTCCCATATATATTTATCCGATTTTAGGTAATTGGTGCACCAAAGTCACTATATATCTTTCGATTTGCACGAAATTTGGCATAGAGTACTGAATTAGGTCTAGATTGATGTGTGCTAAGTTTCCGCAAAATTGGTTCAGAGTTAGATATAGCTCGCATATAAATTTTCGTCCGATTTAAGGTAAATGGGTCTCCAAAGTCCCTATATATATTTTGATTTGCACGAAATTTGGAACAGCGTACTGAATTAAGTCTAAAGCGATGTGTTTTAAATAGTTTCCATATATATTATCGTCCGATTTTAGGTAAATAGTGCACCAAAGACTCTAAATATATTTCGATTTGCACGAAACTTGGCACAGCGTACTGCATTGAGCCCAGAGTAATATGTAGTAAGTTTCGTGAAAATCGGTTCAAATTTACATATAGCTCCCATATATATTTTCGTCCGATTTTAAGTAAATAGTGCACCAAAGTCCCTTTATAGCCTTAGATTTGCACGAAACTTGGCACAGCGTACTATATTGAGCCCAGAGTAATATGTATTAAGTTTCGTGAAAATCGGTGCAGATTTAGATATAGCTCCCATATATATCTTCGTCCGATTTAAGACAAATGGTGCACCAAAGTCCCAATATTTGGCCAATTGGGACAAAATTCTACACAGAGTACTGATTTGGGTCAGGACTGATGTCTGTGAAGTTTTGTTAAAATCGGTTCAGATTTAGATATAGCTCCCATATATAGTTTTGTCCGATTTAATGTAAATGGTGTATCAAAGTCCTAAATATCTTTCGATTTGCACGAAATGTGGCACAACGTACTGCATTATGTCTAGAATGATGTGTGTTAAGTTTCCATAAAATCGGTCCAGATTAAGATATAGCTCCCATATATATTTTCATCCGATTTAGTGTAAATGATGCACCAAAGTCCGGATATATTTTCCGATTTGCACGAAATTTGGCATAGCGTACTGAATTGAGTCTACCATGATGTGTGTTAAGTTTCGTGAAAATCGGTTCAGATTTAGATATATCACCCATATATATTTTCGTCCGGTTTTACATATATGGTACACCAAACTCCTAATGTTTGTCCGATTAACACGAAATTTTGCACAACATATCAAGTTGAGACTTGAACAACGTTATTGGGTTTTGTTGAAATTGGTGCAGATGCAGCCATAGCTTCCATATGTAGTTCGAACGGTTGTCGGATTGAAATTAAATTTTTAACAGTGCGGCGTACCGAATAGCGTGTATCAATTTTGCTATAAATCGTTCTTCATAAATTTGTCCCATGGTACGCAGACGACTCGAAATCTGCCCGAAAAAAATTACATTTATCATAGGTTGCAGAATGACATGAGTATGTTCCTTCGAGTGATGAAGAGTATCATATGGTCGGCTCAGTCGTGGATTTTTAATAACATTTTTCTATGGCCTTTATAAGGAGTAGATTTTTTAATAATATTTTTTTATGACCTTCATAAGGAGTATAGTTTTAAAATCATATTTTTCTAGGACCTTCACAAGGAGTAGATTTTTAAAATCATATTTTTCTAGGACCTTCATAAGGAATAGATTTTTTAAATGATATTTTTCTGCGACCTTCATAAGGAATAGATTTTTTAAATGGTAATTTTTGTGCGACCTCCACAAGGAGTAGATTTTTAAAGTAAATATTTTTCAAGGACCTCCACAAGGAGTAGATTTTTAAAGTAAAAATTTTTCTAGGAATTGTGAATATTTAACCCACTCAAATTCTATTTTTAATATTTTTTTTCCAGGGTCACTTTATGTATTCATGTAAATGACTTAAGGACATTTGCTGCTCTAAATCCTATTTTTCTCCTAACAACCTTTGTTGCCACTTACCTACAATTCTATTATTGTTGTGATTTGTAATGCTTCATTTGTGTCTGATATGGTATTTACTAACGACGACTGTTTTGTGTCTCTGTTTCTTTTATTTCTTTGCAGTTCCACCCGAATCGATTACAATACTGGATCACAAAGGTACAACAATAAAGGATCATGTTTTGGGTCCATACAATGAAGGTGCCATAATAAATATAACTTGTGTGGCTATTGGTGGTAAGTTTGGCTATTGTTGTTGTTGTTATTGTATTGTATTTAACCATTTTGTTATTTGAATTGAAAAATAATAACAATGAGAGTGTTAAAGGACCTGGGTGGGAGAGGATAATAACAATAAAAGGATTGAAATGTAACGATACGATAAAAATTAAATTTTTTGTTTTGCAACAGTATCATGTCTCTGAATTGTGGAGACTTTTATATGGAAATTAAAAATGTAAGGAGGGGGAGGGAATATCTAGTTTAAAATTTATATTTAAAAAGGACCTCTTTATACTTCTCCAAATATTTTCTTTTTGAAATTGTGTACCCTCTTTTTTGTTTTAGTTCCATTTCCAATAGTCACTTTGGAATGATATATCGTATCTATCGTTTTTGTCAACAAAGGATGTCTGTTGTATTCTTTTTGTTTTCAAAATATTTTCCCACCTATATTGATACTCTTATGCTCTGAGTATTCCAACCCC